ACATGGACCTTATATCTGGCAGAGTAGAACTGTTCCTTAGGGCGTCTGAGGCTGTAAATAAACCTTTATAGGAGCAGGCAGCCTCATTCTTATCCCACGTACAGACTGGTGGAGTTGAACCACCAACATTGTGGTTAGCAGCCCACTTGCTAACCCTCAGCACCACCCAAAACCTCAAATGGCTGCCATGCAGTCAATTCTGACTCCTGGCAGCTCTATGGGGTTGGGTAGACTGCCCCTCTGGGTTGCCAGATGGGCTCTTTTTGGGAATAAAAAGCCTCATCTTTCTTCTGAGGAGCCTGGCTAATAGCACCCCAACCTGTAACCATGACACCACCAGGGCTCCAGCCAGAGCCCCTTATTATCCTGCTTAGGGATCTCTTCCTAATAGTAGATTTTTTTTCCCCCAAGTGTATTTTAGAGAGGAGCTCTGGTGAGAGAGCCCCTCTGGTGAGAGAGCCCCTCTGATGGTGGTGTGGTTACGAGCTGGGCTGCTAACTGCAAGGTCCACAGTTCAAAACCACTGGGCTTTCTACTTTTGTAGAGAGTCTCAGAAGCCCACTGTCCTCTAGGGTTGCTATGAGTTGGCATTGACTGGAGGGCAGAGTTCGGTTTTGGTGTGGTATTTTGTCTGGCATGACAGTTATGAGTCTTATTTTTTGGTTAGTATTTTCTTGGTGTTCTGTTTTCTGCCTTACATCAGCCTTTATGTTTCTGTGTGTGGCTTGGTTGCCAACCAGAAGGTCAGAGGTTCAAGCCTACCAGCCCTTCCACAAGAGCAAAGCCCTGGCATGAAATTGGAATTTGAAAATACAATCGGACCATTTCTTTTGACTAGTTTATTATAATTTATTATGTTTATACGGGTATGTTTGGATTTATTTTTCACATCTCATCTTCTGGGCTTTTCCCTCAAGTATATTTATCGCCACCTCCGACTAGTTTGAAAGATTTCCATCCTATTTATTATTCTTGTGGTGATTACTATTTCAAGTTTAACCAGTATTTTTGTCCCTCTATGAGCAATATGACCTGGGGCCCTGGTGGCGTAGTGAGTTGCACTTTGAACTGCCCACTGCAAGATCAGCCGTTCCAAACCACGCCCCGCCCTCAGGGAGAAGGGGGAGGTCTTCTACTAAAGCCACAGGGCACTTGTACCCTGCCCTGCAGGGTTACCACGAGTTGTATCAACTTGACTGCAGTGCATTTGATTTGCTGGTTGGCTTCCATGAGCAATACAGGGGTCCTCAGTGGGTTAGGCCCTTTGGCACAAGTGCAGTCTTCCTTTCTAGTCGCGTGGCCCTGCCTACTCATGCTCTCAGCGCAGGGCGTGTTATCAGAGCTTTAAGGAATCACAAGTTACTTATTTGGGCCCATATTCTTCACTTACCAGTCCTTGCAGCTCACTTCTTTGTCATTTCCATTTCCTTCTTCATGAAATGCATCTACTAATCTTTCTGTGGTGAGAATGTGTAACTGGGAAGCTCATTTTGACTGTCAGAACATGCGTAGGACAGCCAGCCCTCCATCTCTGCAGCTGACAGGCCCCCACTCCCCCGGGGGTGGCGCTATTAGTTCTTGTAATTTGATCACCTCGCTTGCTTTATTAAAATTCTTCAATGGCCCTTCACTGTCCTTAAAAGTCCAGTCGGGGAAGGCTCGGTGGAGTAATTGAACCCGGATGCTGGGCGGCAAGGGTAGAGGCTAAGGGGGCTTGTGGGGCTGGGGAGAAGTGGCTGAGTTGGGAAGCCACATTTAAGAAGTAGACGCCTCAGGCCCTGGTGATGGATTAGCTGCCAGGGCGAGGGATGAAGAGGAAGCAGAGTGCCGCCCCACCTTGAGACTCCTGCAGCCGAGGAGGCCACGGTGGTGCTGGCCGGGGACTAGGAGACAGCAGAAGGACACATTGAGGTGTAGGTACTGGGAGATGCTCTTGGACTAAGAAAGGACTAAGAAAGTCACTGAAGAGGACAAGAGGTGGGGCGGGGTTGTGCACGGAGCCTCCAAGTAAGGGCAGGGCACCTCTTCTGTTAGCTAGGGAGGAAGGGAAGCTGTGGACACTTGCGGTCCTGGCCGCCCCTCTGGTGGAGGCAGCCAGCTCTGAGAAGCATGGCCCACGCAGATCCATGGGACATTCTGTGGCTACCCCTTCCCTCTCCGGTCACTCCTCCTTAGCCTTTATTTGAGTCTTGCCCTTCTGATGGCCCTGCACATGCCCACAGAGAGGCCCCTGCTTCCCAGAGGGGTAGGCCAGCCCTGGAGAACGGAGTTACTAGGGAAAGCAAGATGTGGAACCATCTCCAAGAAGAGGGGATGATCCAGAGTCTGAGTGTCAGGCCAGTAACTTCAGCTGATGCTAGCCTGTCCCCAGGCAGGCTCCAGGGTCTCTGCTGGGACAAGCCTACAGGCAGCAGTCCAGTGGCCTCAGAAAAGAAGAGTCAGTCTTGCTACTAAGATACAGGACCTTGGGGAGTCTTCTTATTTGATGCATGTGGACATGCAGGGTGAGTTCAGCTTGGTCATGAACCTGCTAAAACTCGATCAGTTGTATACACACTACCTCAATACCGAGAGCCTTCACGATGGACAGTGACAGTTGGCATGGGGGGCAGGGGAAGGCAGTGATCCCAGACCGGAAGTCTGTGCAGAGATCTGACTCCCAGACATTGCTGCTTCTCTTGAATTTCTTTTGCGCTCTATCCCTGAACCGTGTGGGAGCGGTACCCAGAGAGCTCGGCCAACTGGGTAGCCAGCCGGCCTGTGTGGTGGTCCTGGGCGTGTGGCCTTTTAAAAGCAGCATGCATATTAGGAGCTCGAAGCCATACTGTCACATGAAGCACTGTGAGGCCGTTTCTGATGCAGCTCGAGGTGTTAGGTTTCCGTGAACGGTGTACACTGTGGATGTGGGTGTGAAGCTAGGTTTCCATTCCCCACGACCCGACCCAGAGGTGAGTGGATTCCTTGACTCCATACAAAACCCAGCAGGTCTGCGTGCGGAGCCAGGTCTATTAATACACCTTGGTTGGCCTTTAGACTAGAGAGAAAAATCCTCCACTAAAACTGCAACGCAGACCGCTGCCTTAGCACCAGGGGGCAGAGTCGGGCTTGCTGAAACCCAAGGAGAGCCCCAGCGCGCTGGCCTAGCTGCAGTGCCACAGCCCGGCTGGGGCTTTAATCCTGTCGCTCCTGGAGGGGATGTGCTCTCCTTGCTTGCTCCACACTGCCATGGAGAGCAGAGAGTGCCGCTGCCGCCTCCGCAGGCAGAGCCCAGGACCCCACGTTCCACGTCCACACACGGAACACCTCAGGGTCATCTCAGGAATTTATGTAAGACTGCGAGGGGTGCCCGGGATTTAAACACATCACCAGGTTAGAGAGCCGGCCGGGGCAGGAAGGTGGTGAGCAGTAGCCTACATCAGCAGGCCTCGCCTGCCAAGCCAGTGGGTGCATTGGGACAAGGCTTATGAAGAAGTGATGGCCTAGTTAAAGTCAGTCCCCGTCTCTCCAGCCTCATTTGCACTGAGCAAGGCCCTACACTCCCTTCTCCCGGTTCTCCATTGTGCTTTGGGCGCCCGGATCCTTCTGTCCCTGCCACAGGCCAGCTCCTGCTGGGCTGCTCAAGGGTGGGCCCACTGCATGGACCCTGCTCGGACAGCGGGATGTCGTGCTTTCCGAAGTCGGGATGCTTACCGACATTGGAAGACTGCCGCCCTCCCCCTCGTCCATATTATGAAGTGGGCCCCTGCCTTTCAGATGTGGACTTGCAGGCCCATTTCTGGCTGGCGAGACTGGCGACCCCAAGTCCTTTACTTTCTGAGGGCTCAGGACGTGTTGCTGTGGAGGCGTCTCTGGGCATATCTTGGTCCAGAGGCTCTTGACCTTTCTCGCCTGCTACTTTCCTCGAGAGGTGCAGGTACTGTCCCCAGCTGGGGTCTGCATCCGCCTCCTGCCGCAGCGTCCTCCTGCCCCCCCTCGGAGCCTTGGGAATCAAGGTGAAAAGTCAGCACTGATAGAACTATCAGGCGGGTCACTTAGGACTGACTGGCTCTCTGTCACCGCGCCAGAGAGGCAGGCTCAATGCACACTGGGTTTGGAGAAGCCCCACTGCTGGGACCCTCATGCCTGTGCCAGGGCAGGAAAGCCAGTGGGCAGAAGCACGGGGAGCTAAGTTTGGATGTAACCAGACTCACAGAGATCTGATGACAGCCCTTAATCACTGCTATTTCGTAGTAAACATCCTTTGGCTGCGCCTCTGCCTCCGGAAAAGCTGCGTTGGTTTGTCGTGAGGCTTGAAATAATACGTCTTTGTTTTCACCTCCGTGAGCTCATTCTAAACCATTTAGGAGGCGGTGTCAAAGGGCTGGGAGCCACAGACATAAAATGCCCAATTGCGCTTGGGCCCACCCCCACCCCGCTCGCTGGGCATCTCCACAGCCGCTGCCACTGGATGGGCTTACTAATTGGCACAGCACCTGCAATAAATTAGGGAAGCTTCAATTATCCAAACCAAAGCCACCCACCCCAAGATTAATTTTCTGCTCTACTTCCTATCAAAAACATAGCATATTTAGCTCTGAGCTGAGCTCTTCTGTGGAGTGCCTTTTAGACATGGCAACGACATCGTTTTCTTGTTAATTGTACTTGTTCCTGCAATTCAGCAGCTTCCCCCTCATGATATCACGCCCATTCCCCCTTTCACACTCATTGCTGCTTTCTGTTGTGTTGTTGCCTTTCCAAAACGCTGAGATCACAGAACAGCTGCTCATTGGGAAGCTTCTCTCTGCGACTGAGGCTTCCTTGCTTTTCTGGAAAATAACCCAGACACGATCCGGTTTCCCCAAGCTGGATCGACCGGCATGGAACGTCTGGCCTCCCTGACTTCCCAGCCCGTCCGTGTTGTCTGCTCCTCATCCGATGTCACTGTCCCGTGTCAGTAGAAAGCTGCCCACCTTTACTTTCCCTGTCTGCCCATGGAAGAACGGGTCTGTTGTGTGTTTCAGAGAAGGAGCAAGCCATCAACCGGGCTGGTGTCGTTCAAGCCGATGTGCAGCCACCAGGTGAGCTTGCTGGTGTGTGTGTATGTGTGTGTAGGGGGTGGGAGTGTGCATGCATGTGCATTCGCGTTTGCTACAGTGATTGCAAACACGCTAAAAGCTACACCGTAGAGTCTGGCCTTACTCCCTCTCTCACCAGGTCCCACTCTGTTGGGGCTGCCCCAAGCCTTTGGTTTCCGTATTTCCCTCCAGACTAGGCGGCAAGCATGCCACATTCTTCCTCTGCATGTGTGAAGTGGGCATACACACCTAACAAGTGTGCAATTAAAGACAAAGCGTGAATAGCTCTTTAGCAGGCTGGGTTGCAGAACACCTAGTCTGGCGCTCCCTCCTGAGAAAACCCTGTTGACCTGTGAGCTCTTTGCACTGGTGGGCCCCGAGTTGTGC